GATCCGCATCTGGCAGTTTCGACAGAATACAGACCACTTCGAATTATTTTATTCTATTTTTTTTTTTTAGTCTTGAAATCGATTTTTGTTTTTCTAAAAATTAACTTCATTTGAAGAGATATTCCTTTCTATTTCTTCTCGGACCTTAGATGAAACTTCTCTTTACTTGGCGACTTATCAAGAAGATAAGTTTACACCCAAAAGATCTGATAAATAATGCAATCAATTTTAGCACTTTACGAAGTTCAATGTGCACTTTAAAATTTAAATGGGACTGCCTTCCCAATCATGACTGTCTGACCATCGTTTGAAGCGTGACGGCTTCGAGACAGTTTAAAAGTTATAGAACAGGAGATTTCAAAGATGATATTGTTATTAAAATAAAGAGGTTTTGTTTATAGTAATCATTTATTTAACTGAAATTGAATATATCAACTTACACATTACGACTAGATGCTACTGTAAAAAGCGAAATTTCGCGAATTAAAAAACTACTAAGAAATGTTAATAAACCTTTAGCTCAAGTATGTCGTCGGTTACATGAAATCAGTTTAGTTGAAGATAACATAGCATGGTATGGATCTTTTGGCTGGATCGGGAATGGATCTGTTGAATGGGTTCAGCATGGATCTTTGAAACGGATCCGTCATGGATTTTAGAAACGGATTCGTCATAGATCTTAGAAACAGATCCGACATGGACTTTTCAAACGGATCCTATGTTGATCATATATGGCGTGACGATTTTCCATCATACCCAGATAAGAAAGCCTGATTTATTTCTGATCAATCTTCAGGCAATTCTGATCCGCATCAGATCCAATACACTAACTAATTTCAAGTCGGGTTGCTTCTGTGTGGTGCCCAGCGCATTCTCCAAATATATGCTATGTCTGATAAGTATTCTGAAATATTTGAAAGGTAACATTTGGAGGCACTGTAAAATTCATTTCGTGATAGTTCCACAGCGTAACGGGTGTAAAAAGTATTCATAAAAAGTAGCCTTGTTAACGAGTCGTTAATGATCGAGAATAGTTGCCAATTTTGCTGCCGCGTTATCCCATCGCCCGTTGTAATCGTTAACGTCCTACTCATGACCTTCGCAACAGCTAGTACACAGACAGGTCAGTTGCACGTGTGACGATTATTAGTACTAGCCTGCATTTCGTAGTTTATGTTCGATTTGCATTTTAACGGTGCGGAATCACACCATTACCTTTAATGACATCCTAACGTTAGGAGAGGAATTGTACGTACCATACTCTGCCCGTATTTGATTGTTGGGTCCATTCTTGGGAGACCTGTATGTACTATCCGGTTACTAATAAACTTTCTATGGAATCACCTACCATCAAGCACTTTTTTTTATATCAACTTTATACTGAATTTTTAAATTTACTGTTATTTTTTCCGAAATTATATTTTACTTTGAAACATCGTGAGTTCAAAAATATATAATTTAGTTCACTACAACTAGATGACACCAGACTATCCCAACGTTTCTTCCAATAAATGCTTAATTTTACAACCAACGTTAGGTAACTGTATTGATCTATAATAGTACAATAAAAATCTGTAATCCGGTACTCAGTCGGTTACAGCCCTCCGTTTAAAACCATATTTTTTAAAAGCCTTCGGTCTGGTTTGCCTGTAGGACTTAAAGGCATATCTTTAATAATTTTTACACCTCCCCTTAGCCTCTTGCGATCATCAACTTTGTCGTCGACGAATTTTTTAATTTCTGCCGGATCAATTTCTACGCCGTCTTTGAGTACAACTAAAGCAATCGGATGATCTCCGTCTACTTCGTGGGGAACGCCAATAACAACACCGTGCTTAACAGCCGGATGACGAGATAAAACGTCTTCTATGGAAGAGGGACTTACTGGAAATGATTTATATTTGAGCATTTCTTTGCATCGATCAGTAATATAAATGTATTCGTCTTCATCATAGTATCCTATATCACCAGTCCTGATGAAACCTTCAAGATCATACGTGTCAGGCGAAATGAGATTGTAGTAACCATTCATTCTGTAAGCACCTCCTACGCAAATCTCACCTTCTTGATAGGGTCCCAGTGTTTCGCCAGTTACCAAATCTGTAATCTAAGCAGACAATTAATATGAGTTTGTGGTCATACCAAAGACTAGACACACGAATAATTTTTTAAAAACTGTTCTATTCCCTGTGTAAGCGGCCCAGAAAGCATTAATTTTTTTATTTGCTTAATAGCATGTAAAGAACTGCAGAACAAAATGTAAAATGCATTAGCGTAGATGTTAAAACCAAAATATAAATTAGTCCAAATTTTCCAATGTTCTCAAAAAACAAAAATAATAATAAAAAAATAATAAATGAGCGGGATTAACTGAGTCTTTTTGACAATTTTCTGGCCTTTTAGACAGCATAATTAGCTTTTTTAACTTCCGTACCTATAGGAGGTTCAAACATCTCGGAACTTTTCAGATTCTCACAATAATGTGAATTTGACATAAAATTCGAAAATTTGTACAAAACTTAATCGGCTTTTCTCGTACAATTTTGTATTTAAAGAATGTTTGAATAGCAAGAAACATTACTGTGCGATTAATTTTGGTGGCAAGGTAGAGGGTTAAGTTGTATTAAGGTTTTACTTTCTTTAGATCAAACGATCTACTGCCGCATTTCCGACGGCTTCTTATGACGGCTTCCGGTGCAGTCCGTTAATGGGTTAAGGTCATGTCAATGTCATCGAAACGGTACAAAAATTAAGGAAATTTGTCAACATTGGTTAAACTATTGTTTTCCAATGCTAACTGTGCGTTACCCCTTAAGTCAGAGCCGGACAAACCTTAACTTCGTAGGAGCCGCTACCTGAAGCTCGTTTGGGTCACTTTATACCTTTCAGTGAGTACGAGAAAGTAAGCAGTAATGACCCATATTGCTCTCTCTTTTTCTTCTCCCTTCCGCTCCCATATCAAGCCCCTCCACCCCGTAGACGAGCGAAACCTCTCTCGCAACTTAAATGATACCTACGAAAATTTTCGTGATCGTCCCGCTGCTCAGGGGTAGCACACCGAACTACGGTCGTAACACTATTGGGTTCGACTATGGAAGAGGGGACTCGCCTAAGAAAAGGAAAGGATAATCCTACTCGCACTCGCATGAGTTCCTTGGCTATACCTGAGGAGCATCTGGGAGTCAAAAGAACCGAGTTTGCCTAGTTCTGCCTTAAGCTAGTAACAAAATAGCATAAAATGAAGCCTGTGCTTGTTATCTTCAATAAATACAATACTTGTTAATTAATATTAACCTTAAGTAAGGTTCCTCGTGCTGCTTTTCCGCAAGATACTTTAAACATCTTTTCTTCCATTGATTTTACATAATTTTCGTGCCTCGGGTATACTGCTATTGCTCCTACCTCGGTTTGCCCATAACAATTTAAAAGTTTTGCGTTTGGAAACGTTTCTGCTGCCAAGCGGAGATGTTTTTTGGTTACTGGAGTTCCTGCTACGATTATATCTTTGACGTGAAGAGTTATGTCTTGATTTCGACAGTACTCTGTTACGTCAACCAAATAAGGTGTTGGTAAAAACACAGTTAGGAGCTGCAAATCAAACCAATAAAGATTTATTAGCATTTTATACATTTTTGTTTAGTATACATAGTTTAGGTTTAATGGATAATTGCATGTTTTCAAATTTTACAAAATTCCAAACTGAAAATTAGGTTATCGGCATTTTCAACTATAAGTTCAAACACTATAATGCAAGAGAATAACTCTTCATTGCACTTCCTGCTTTGTTTACTAGAAATTACAATTATTTTGTAATGTATTTCTCCATTCATAAAATATCCTACTACCGAACCAGCTTGAAACTAATTAAACAAAAATGTAGGAAGTTCATCTATACGTGAGTTTCGAATAGTTTTCTATAAGACATTGGATTGGACGTACGGGGCTTGTACCATGACTGGTGGGTAGTCCTGATCTAAATCCGTTTGACCTCTTTGTATGAGGCTGCATGAAACAGCGACACAAATATTTTTTGTAGTGTACATACGTATGTGTATATATATTTGTATGTGTTGCAATTAATTAAAAAAAAATTTAGGGGATACAGTACTACACGCGCCGTAGAGTAAAAACATGCTTATCGGTTTTAGATATCATGTGTTTAATGTTTGGAACAGAGGTTTGAAATTTTGTAGTAAGATAGATAAAGCTTTTTTCTAAAGCCTGTCGAAGGCCATTCTTTAATTTCTATTGAAAATACGTGTCCTACAAGAAGCATCGATTTTAAGCATTTGTAAAAGCCTTTAATGACCATATTATTGAAAATCAAAAACGTACCGAGTTAGTCTGAACCTTTGTCTGTTATCATACAAAAATTCAGATATTTATCTCGCAGCGTTAAACCACAATGTTTAGAACAGAAGCCCATGTTTTCGGAAAAATTTACACTAGGTACGAGCGGCCTATTGCGGTGAATCCCCTTAATAAATGACACCGAATCTTTTTCTGTTTACCGATTGCATCCACGAATAATGACATTTTTAGCCGCGAATACAGGAACATACTTAGTTCACATACACCCTGTATAATACTCGTTTAAATAAATGAAAATTCGTTGGAGCACGTACCTTGCAGTTTTCTGCAACTTTGCAAAAGTTTGCAGGGCCATCATATCTGGGATAAACCACTTTGATAAATCCAAGAAAAATGTTTGCAATAGTTAAACCGACTTGTGTGACCCAATACAGAGATGAGAAGAACAGTACTCTATCCCTTTCGGAACTGAAAAGAAAATTTTAGCTACAGTCATTGTACATCAATTTAAAGATGCTCAAACATTTTCCTAGATAGAACAAACAGAATAGCTCAAAACCCCAACGCCAAAACACGACACTGTAGTTGTCCGAAGCACTTTTCGGTAACAAAGTTACCTTCTTCAGGGACTGAAGTAAACTTAGTTCAGTCCCTGAAGAAGGTAACTTTGTTACCGAAAAGTGCTTCGGACAACTACAGTGTCGTGTTTTGGCGTTGGGGTTTTGAGCTATTCTGTTTGTTCTACAACAACCGCCAAAGTTTTTCCAATCTTCATATTTTCCTAGATGCAAATTATCTATTATTAAGAAGTTGTTAAAAATTATTTTGTTTATATACTTAATAGCGATTCGTAAGTATTTTGTTTAGGTCTCAGGTGCATGTTCTATTTATTTTTGATATAATCTTAAATTTTATTTACACAAAAATTTATAAAATTATTTATAGATATACGAGGGTGGATTGATAAGTTTCCGGCCTGACCAAGAAAAACAAGGTTTTTAAAAATTTTTTTTTTTTATTTCTCAACATAATCTCCTCCAAGGCTGATACATTTCTCATAGCGGTGTTCCAGTCTATTAATGCCATCTCTATAGACTGATTCGTCAAGCTCCTCAAAATAACCATTTACAGCTTCGATTACTTCTTCATTGTCCGCAAATCTCTTACCGCCAAGCCATTTTTTGAGATTAGGGAACAGAAAATAGTCACTCGGGGCTAGGTCTGGAGAGTAAGGAGGGTGCGGCATCAATTCAAACTTTAGATCGTTGATTTTAGCCGTCGCAACGATTGACGTGTGCGCTGGTGCGTTATCGTGATGAAACAAGATTTTTTTCTTCGCCAGATGAGGTCGTTTAATTTTCACCTCGTGGCTCAAACGTTGCAATAAGTCTGCGTAGTATTGACCAGTGATAGTATTACCCTTTGCAAGGTAATCAATGTATATAATACCTCTTGCATCCCAAAAAACAGTAGCCATAACCTTGTTCGCCGAAAAAATTGTTTTTGCCTTCTTTGGAGTTGGTTCCCCTGGTCCAATCCACTGTTTAGACTGTTCTTTGGTTTCAGGAGTGTAGTGGTGGACCCACGTTTCGTCAACGGTTACGAATCGACGCAAAAATTCGCTTGGATTACGCTTATACAATGACAAATTTGCGGTAGAAATGTTTTTTCGAATCAATTTTTGGTCGACTGTTAGCAAACGCGGCACCCATCTTGCACAGAGCTTTTCCATATGCAAATGTTGGTGCAAAATATGTTGCACACGTTCATATGACATCTTACAGGTCTCAGCTATCTCACGCACTTTCAATCTGCGGTCTCCCAGCACTATTTGATGAATTTTTTCGATCATATCTGGAGTTGTGACCTCAACGGGGCGTCCTGAGCGAGGCCCATCAGAGGTGCTCACACGACCCTTTTTAAACTCGGAAACCCACTGCTTAACGGTTGAATATGACGGGGAGGATGTCCCCAGTGTTGAGTCCATCTCTTTTTTAATTTCCTTCGGCGTTAACCCCTTCAAATAAAAGTATTTGATGACAGCACGATTTTCCTGCTTTTCCATTTTTACGAAAACCACAGAGGCGTCTTGTTCAGCGTGCTGTCAAACCTACACTAGCAAGGAGATCGGGCTGAAACTATAGCTACAAGCTATCCAAGGATGGTACTATAGAATGTCACCTCAAGGTAGGCCTAGTGGCGTCATCTCTTGGTTAGGCCGGAAACTTATCAATCCACCCTCGTATTACCGGAAATGTATGAAATCTATGTACAATTCCTACGAAAATGTGTACAATTCCGAGGCTATTTAGGAAATCTATAAAATATTGTTTCAAAGATTTTTTAATGCACACATATCCTGGGAAATGTATATACTTCCTATGAATTGTATGAAATTTATAAAACTAATGCTTTCTGTGAATTAAATGAATAACACACGTTAGTAAACTGAAAATCAGTGTTATCTGTGTTTGCGCGGCTCTAGTGCGATCGCCTGATGTATATGCATTGGTGACGTTATTGTTTGGTTAGGTTAGGTTTGGAGATGTATATGCATTAGTGACGCAATTATATGGTTATTAGGTAGATTTATGACAGACTCGAGTTTCTTTAATCTGATATGTTGGAATAATGTCTTCGAAAAGTATGCTTCATTGTTATCTCCGCGCCCATCGTATTAAGTACTAAGTCGGAGAGTATGGCGGAAGGCCCTCTTTGGTCCTCTTTTAGAAGTAATGGGAACGGGTGGGAGCTGATTGGGGAACGAATAATAACACGGACGAAATGAAGACGGAAGAATGAATGATTATTTCTGGAATATTGTTATTCCCTAGCGATTTGATCCTAGTAAATCACAGAAAAATTTAAACTAAGGCAGACAGTTTAGGAATCGAACCGAGCATTCGGGGGGACATGCTAAATAATGCTCTAAAGTGGGTCTCGGTAAATAATCTGATAAATTGATTAATTTCATTGTTTAATCGGAATAATCGATTAGAGCAGAGCCGGGCAAACTCGGCTCTTTTGCATCCCGAGTGCTCCTTAAGGTTAACTAAGTAGCTCCTCATTGATCCTGCGAGTCGAGTGAGATGATTCTTTCCTTTTCTTATCCCTTCCATTTCGTAGGTGAGTCCCCTCTTCCATAGCCAAACCCAATAGTTTTGCGAATGTAGTAACGAAAATTCTCGTAGTTACTATTTAAGTTGCGAGAGTGGCTTCGCTCGTCTACGGGATGAAGGGGATTGATATGGGAGTGGAAGGGAGAAGAAAAAGACAAAACAAAATTATTCATTACTGCTTACTCTCTCGTACTTATAGAAGGGTATGGAGTGACTCAAACTAACCTCATGTAGCGGATCCTGCGAAGTTAAAGTTTGCCCGACTCTGGATTAGAGTAGTCGATAAATCGAAATAATCGATTAATCGGAATAATTAACTAATCGGAATCATTAATTAGTTTAAATAAATGAATGTTAAATAAATTCAGTCGGCTTATCGAGATGGGAGTCTTCCACTTATTGCTATCTTTTCTGTATTCTGTTCGAGATGGTTTGCGTATTAGGATTATCTGACACATCCTACCAACTATGTATATATGCGAGTCTATCTATAAATCAAGCAATGTACTTACACTCGTAAATTAATTGATTAATCGATTACTTCAACCCATCGCAGTATTCCATTATTTTTTACAATCAACAATCGATTGTTTAATAAAATTAAAATTAAGATAAAAGAGAAATGAAAAATTATCGGCCTCAAAATTTGCTTAAATGATTTAAGGAAACCGCTTGGATCGGCCGGATTTGAAATCGAGCCGGTGAACCTGCTAAATGCTAAAGCTGTGACCTAAACCTCTAGGCCGTGGATGTTTCATTCCGACATTATGGTGGAAACCAGTAATGCAGCAAGATAGGTGAGAATAAATTCCGTCAATAATAATAATAACAATATCCCATAATAAATCAAAGTACTCAACATTCTATGTTTATTTATTATTTATGAAAAGTCCCACTTTTCATAAATAATGAAAACGACTGATCACATAGTTCACGCATTCATGACAAATGTTATTAAGAAGAATACACATATTTTGGGGAAACTTTTGCTCTTTCAGAGTATTCTCTATCTATCAGTGGCATCTGGCTAACATTTTTGAAGTTTCGTTTCATGCGAGTTGCTATGTAACGAAATCATGCAACGGATGTCCCCCGTCTACTCGGCCACGTAGTCGAGTTTGTAGTGGGGATCGCTTGAGTCGTGAGCGCGCTTCAATGCAACGTTCGTTACAGGCATCTCCGGCATGTATAGTGTAGCCCTATCAAAATGTATGAATGTATTTGTTAGGGTTTGTATATGTGTGCCTACACACTACAGTCGAAACGACGCCACTGACGCCAATTCCTTATCTCCTAACCCGGTATGTTTGTGTGTTTGAAGAAGTTTCACTTCAGTAGCGTGTTGTATAATTATACGTTGTATTTTTAATTATACTAACATTTTTGATTTTATCACTTACAAAAATGTCGTCTGGGCAAAGTTGACAAAGTAACTATGGTTCAGACAGATTCCTTTTGGTTTACCAGTGGTTCCACTGCTGAAAAGAATCATAGCAGTGTCTTTCCAATTTGTAGCATCGTGTGGTTCAAATGATTCTTCCCCATCGATTGGAGCTAGATAATTATCTAAAGATTCATAATCGTTGGAAGGACCGAACACGATAATTTTTGATTCCAAATTGCTCTCTTTAAGACTTTTAACAATTAAATCGACTGAATCTGAGCCGACAAAAATAGCTTTCGGTTTCAGCATTTGAAGAAAATATTTGCAATCATCTACTGAGAATGTGGGGTCAATTGCTGACGCGATAACTCCAGTAAAAAATGATGCGATTAATGGCACTGCACTATTTAATGTATTAAATGTACAAATCGTTATTTTGTCTTGCGGTTTAAAACCCTCTTTTCGCATGTGCAATGCTGTTCTTGTGCACCTCATTAAGAAATTGTTGAATTTATCTTCTTCTTGTGTGATACCGTCAATCTGAAACACAGAATATACTCAGATAAGAGTAAAGTATGACTCAAACATCGAACTTGAATCAAACTGCACAACAGACAATTAACATATAATCAATGCAAATAGAGTTTGTATAGACATTCCACAAATATTATAATAAATCAGCAGGAGCAGATCTAGCATGTGCAATTGGGGGGGGGGGACTGCAAAAAATTGGATATCTCGTATACTTTATATATACAAGGGGCATTCAAATATAAACGAGCTTTTCACTTCTGAGGACTTAGAAAGCTTGTCGGAGGTAAGCGGGGCGTTAAAAAATATAAGGGGGATCCCCCAATTCCGTCTGATTGTGACGATATAATCTTAAATTAGATAATAAATAAACAATTCCTTTTTTCTGGAAAAGTCGAACAAAACAAAAAGTTTGTCTCCATTATCGAATGTGAGTGATCATCTTCGTTTCTCCAAAGGCTGCATTTTAGAAAGCGACCCCAAGTTGTTGGTGATTACAGATATATTGTTTATTGGATATCATACTTTTTTCCTATAATCATGTTAGAACTTTTTCCGTTTTATTACGTTATTTGCATTCTAATTAAAAGTTACACATGTAATGTTCATAGGTTTGCAAAGGATATAAAGCAATCACACATCATCACTTCATGGTGGTTTCAGCACTTTTCGATTATGAAAAGTTTAATGAAAACTTATTGCAATATTTACAATTTTATATTTTTTGATAGCCTACGGGCATACGTCCATCCAAAACAGAGCCGGGCACACTCGGCTCTTTTGATTCCCAAGTGCTCCTCAGGTATAGCCAAGGAGCTCCTCATTGCTCCTGCGAGTGCGAGTGGGATTATTTTTTCGTTTTCTTATTCCTTCCATTTCGTAGGTGAGTTCGCTCTTCCATAACCAAACCCAATAATATTACGAACGAAAATTTTCGTAGGTATTATTTGAGTTGCGAGAGAGGCTTCGCTCGTCTACGGGATGGATATGGGAATGGAAGGGAGAAGAAAAAGAGAAAGCAACATGGATCATTACTGCTTACTCTTTCGTACTCATTGAAGGGTATGGAGTGACTCAAACTAACCTCAGGTAGCGGCTCCTACGCAGTTAAACTTTGCCCGGCTCTGATCTAAAACGAGCGAGATTTGACAAAGCGGAGCGAGAGGGTGATTTATAATGTTTTGTCGTGACGTACATATCTAACGAGCTAGCTCCCTTCGCTCACTATAAAACAATTTCACAAACAGGCTCTTCTTCTTCTTCTGACTTGACTTCTCAAATAGACCATAGTTACTTCTTCCAGCTCCAGTCTCGTAAATAGAATGCCGACTGACATTTCTATCTGTTAGCGTCACACACGCTACAACGTAATGGTTTATACCAAGAAGTAAAACTAAGGCTAAGGCTAATATTTATAATCCGCCGATCCTTTAGTACATCTTTTACTTTATTTATAATCGATAATCTTAAGCAAGATTATAACTAGAGAGCGAACAACGTTCGTACATGAAGTCATTCTCAGGGAAATACTTAGGACATTATGCTAGTATTTGTCGAAGTTCATGTGCATTTCATGTTACATGTGTGTTGCATTAACTTAGCAACTTATCTAAGTTCTCCCTCTGCCTCTCCAGTTTTCATCAATTGAGCTTCAAAGTGGCAAATTTATATTATTGTTTTAGGAAATAACAGCGTATTATGTTTAGTAACAATAAACACTGTTTATCTTTATATTACGTAGTTGTTTTTATGTAGTATTGTCAAAATTGTTGATTAAGATCTTCAAGTAAGCATGAACTACATAAAAGATATAAACTCTGGTAATATGATTATTTATGTACTGTTTGGATAAAGGAAAAACAAGATGTCCCATATACATTCGTATTTCGTAATAATAATGCTTAACAGTTTCAGTTCAATTTTGACTAACTGTGCTACAAATTCTATCAAAAAGTAAACACTTTATTTTTACGATTACAATATTGCAACTATAGCTTTAAAGACGTTTACTATATCTTTTTAAATATAACAAAGTCAAACTTATACCTTTATATGTCCAGAAGAATGGAGACTTTCTAGTAATGTTACACAATCATATAGTCTCCAGGCCTAATACACGCATCTATTCCTTTTCCTACCTTGAGCCAATCTCGCAATTTTCTAAAACTAAAGCAATTTATATCTCCAACGACTTGGGAGTAGTAATCTAATAAATCTAGTAAAATTTTTGGGTATTTTATTCCCACTAGCCACTAGTGCGGATAGTCTCTTCGGATTACGCCGGGAAGTAGGGCCGAATGCCCTCTTCAGCCTCCTTTCAGGAATCACGGGAATGGGAGTTTGTTGGTTCGAGTGAGTAAGATGAGACTGACAAAATGAAGACATAAGAGAATGATAGTTTATCTGTCGAATATTACTGCCCCAGCATTTACCTAATTGAACCAAAGAAACCACTGACAAACTTGGACTAAGGCAGATGGACCCGGACAGACAGATCGAACAGGCGTCCTCCAGAATGATAAGCAGTAATCTAAACCAAAACCGGGAAAACTTTAACTTCGTTTGGGTCACTCCATACCCTTCAATGAGTACGAGAGAGTAAGCGGTAATGACTCATATTGCTTTCTCTTTTTCTTGTCCTTTTCGCTCCCATATCAATCCCCTTTATCCCGTAGACGAGCGAAGCCTCTCTCGCAACTAGGGTTCGGCTATGGAAAACGGGCTTTACCTACGAAATGGAAGGGATAAGAAAAGGAAAGGATCCTCTCATTTGCACTCGCAGTGGCAATGAGCAGCTCCTTGGTTATACCTGAGGAGCACTCGGGAGTCAAAAGGGCCTAGTTTGCCCGGCTTTGATCTAAACCTGTAGGTAATGCCGCTCGATGCGCGCCCTCTGTCTCCTACTCTTTCTGTTACCTATCCCCTCATTTCTAACGTTTTCTGTCTACAGTATTTTAAACATCATCCTTTAACACCACATCTCAAACTTTTCCTTATCTGTAGTATTTTTTCAAATTAACCAATCTTGATCACAAATGGAATACGCTTTTGTTAAAGGGACTCCACCCTACGATATTGTTTGTTTTATATCTCTTGCGCTTTCTTAGAGAGTTATTACCTATATCCCTAAAATATCGAACGTTGGAGACTACTAGTTTTTCATCTCTTATTTTCGTATAAGGCCTTATGTACCAAGCACATTTTTCTCAGTACTTTGATTGAATCAGTGGAATATAAATTTAATCGTACGATGAACTGAAGCATTTGGTGTTCTCTGGATAAATTAAATGGCTAAAGTAAGGCGATGTAAACATGTTAGGTACCTACAAAAGTTCCTTATCTCCTTCTTTGTATGTGTATGGGAACTCTTTAATCACGAATTGTACAAAAAATTATTTACTCTATAAAAAATGCCGCTTATCAGGGCATTAGCATTTAATGATTCAAATATTAGGTAAGATGCTATTAAGAAATTAATTTCGCTTCAGTTTATTGCTAGAGTGACAAAGATTGAAATTTGTAATTCGTAAACAGTATGATCCCATGTCATTCATGAAATATAGGGTGATAAAAGAGACTGATTTCTTTTTATGAGGTCAATAGATTGTTGATTTTAAAGGAATTAAAAATTATGCTCGGCAATCAACAACGATGAAACTGTGTTTGAGTATTTTATTTAAATTTGCCAAACGTAACGCTAGATAAAATTGAAAAAAAAAATAATAAGGCGATACATTTATAGTAATATCATCTATAAGTAATGTTATTCAACGATATGAGCACAGATCTCAAGTTCTCAAAGAATATCATCATCATCATTATCATAGGATCGTTGGACACCTACCTCTACTCTTTCGTATCCTGAGCTAATCTATGCATTTTCCTAAAACTAGAACATCCCACATCCTTAACCATTTGTGAGAAGTAACCCGATCTAGGTTTCTATTCCTCTTAACTCCTGTTTCTGCTTCCAATGTCTAACTAGCTATTTATGACTGAAAAGTTGCCCTAGCAACCTATCTCGCCTATATCTTATTGGCTTCCTTAGCGCCCTCTGTTCTGTTACTCATTCTAATACTTGCTCATTTCTAACCTTCTCTATCATTGATATCCTCATCATTCGTTGATGATACAGTGGACAAAGTATAAACGATGTTTCTTGAAGAGCTCGTAATGAGGTTGTAGATTTCATATAGATACACCGTTCACAACTATGCCCCAAATTGATTTAACATAACATGTACTTTAGAATAAAATAACGGATCACTGCTGTTTAATTATTTAATTACTTTCTAAGCTTTGCAAAGGAAACAGATAGAAGAAAAAATTCGTGTGCGTCTGCTTGAAGTCGCTAACCGAATGTATGAATAATCTGAACAACAACATATAAAAGTATCGTCGATCCCCGTAACCAGCAAATCTGCCCCCAGAAACCCCATGAACATCAAAGAAAAGAACCTTCATAAAACGGCAAATTTCCGATGTTCTTGTACTTATAGCAACCAATAATGCTAGATAATATTTTTTTGTATTTCACCGAAATTTCCAATATAGTAGAGGGGTTTCAGTCGGTAGGTCCGAGGACACCCTCCTCGGGAATCCGACACCCAGTCGTACGGATGGCTGGGTGTCTTTTGAAGATTTCCCCTCTTCCACAGAAAAAAGAAGCTGAAAGCGATCTTTAAAATGAATAACTAGAAGCGTGGTTACGGAGATCGAAGTAACATATGTTGGCTTATTATTGAAAAAAATTTACTATAACTAAATTATTTATGTACACTTATTTGAATATCGAAATTTACTAATTATTCATAGAAATTAATGATTAAAAAGTTAATTAAAAAAAACATACAGGTTGTAGTCTGTCATTATTATATGGAGAAGAAATGGATGCTAAATAACCAATAGTAAATCTGACTTTTATTGACAGGCTTAGCCACACACATCTACTGCTAATCCTTGCAGTCTCAAAAAAGCCTCCTAATTAAAGACGTAACGTTGTTGTGGGTTTTCTAATAATAAATGGTTTACAACCCTTATCATATCAGATTTGTTATCAATTTTTATAAGGGTAAGAAATGGAGCCAGTACTATGGTAATAGATTCTTTATCGTCACTCATATTTAAAACTATAATATACGTAGGTAATAACATATTAATTCGCAAACAAACTTAGCAATATATGATAATTAAATTTAATGCGAACCCGTCAAGATAAGGTGCGATTTTTTGTAATTTTAGCATTTAATGTGTANATTGTGGAAAGTTATTATTTCGAATGGTCTTTTACAATAACTTTTTTATTTATGGAATAATTTCGAAATGCCACAAAGGATTTTCAATGCGCATAAATCATCTGTTCATAATTATTTTCTGTCTCCTGTTGTTTTTCAGAACCGAGAAAACAAAAAAATCTGATTTTTCGGCCTAATTATTAAAAAATACAATAGGGCACCACTTCGTACAAAATCAGTTAGTTTCTGTTGACTTTCCTAAAATAGTAAGGTGTAGATATAAACTTTTCAATTTTTTAATACTACACATTTTCTGCACTGCAAGGGCATTGTAAAAATTTTCTATATAAGAAATGGCGTATGTCACGATTTTTAAAAACAAATAAAATAGTGGATAATATAAAAACCACAGGAACAATGAGCTCTTTACGTGTTGACGATTTAGCTAAGAAGTGCTTTTCATCCTTGGAGCATTTTCACAGTTTGTAAGGGGCTGTCCCCAAATGAAAAGTACATAAATTATGTGTTTTTATGTGTCCCCAAGTCAGCCAAGAAACGCTTTTCGTATTCTAATCCCATTTAATTTCGAGCAGATGATTATTACAGAGGTTGACCTAAAGTAAATGGGTTGGTCATTCAAACCTACTTCTAAAGCATATCAATCCAGTGTGGCGACAATTTTTTTTTAAATTACTATTTATTTGTTATCTAGCTACACCCCGTATATTGAAATTTTTAAGAAAGTGTTTTTTTTTTGTAGCCTTTAACATATAATATATCAACTGTACATACCGAATGATTAAAAAAAAATTATACAAAACTTCAGTAAAGTAATACCACAAATGGCGCGGTAAACGCCATCTGTAGTACGATGCTACATTTTAGGATTACGTATGCTCCAACAAGGTCCATTTAAATATATGGATATCTACTTGTTGAAATGAATCCCGGCGTAGCTAACCTCAACGTGATAGGCACGTTACCATAATCGAATAAAATAATAAGTACATACCATTCCGAATTATTTTATTTAGTAAGGTAAGCTTCTTCGAATTACAGATATACATAGATAGTAGTTTACAATATTCGCAGTCGTCTAGGACATACGGTTTCCGCCAACAACCGATTTCGGCCAATAATACGATATCTGTTAAGGCAACACAAACGAAGTGAGTTTAAGAGTCATTAAGTCGGGGCGGAATAGTACCTACGATTTTAATGGTACCCAAACAATTTGGGTGGAATCGTACCATGCCCTGCCCATACCTGCTTGTTAGCTTGGGAGACTTGGTCCCACTGCCCAGTTTATAAGCACCAATAAACTTAGGTTAATATTTTGATGTTTACGATGTATGATTGTCGTATGCTTCGTTCTTAATGAACCACATTGTATGGTTACCATTCATCATGTATTTTTTTATATCACATTGATACTGAATTGTTTAAATTGACTATAAACCATTTATAGATTCTTTATCGTCACTCATATTTAAAACTATAATATACGTAGGTAATAACATATTAATTCGCAAACAAACTTAGCAATATATGATAATTAAATTTAATGCGAACCCGTCAAGATAAGGTGCGATTTTTTGTAATTTTAGCATTTAATGTGTAGTTATGTTAAAAATTGATAAACGAGCTCATTGAACTCTAATCCTAATTCTAATAAGATTATTTGCAACCTTTTATTTCACCCTGCATAATTACATTATTGAAATTAAAAATTAAAAGTTATATTACCTGCATAATGTTGTTTCCATTGTCCTTAAGTTTTTCATAAATAATTCTCCCTAATCCTCGTGCATCTTGAAATTGTTCCCCTGCAGGTGGACCGATAAGGATTCTGGTTTGTTTAATAGCATTACCAATATCTGAAGGTTATAAAACACACACCATTAGAATTAGAAAACAAAGAAATACTTAGTAAAAAATGGCCTAGTACCTTTATCGTGGTTCATATTATCACTTATGTATGTGTCCGGAAGGTGTGCCACTATAGAGAAACTAATTTTGGCGANCTTCGGTCTGGTTTGCCTGTAGGACTTAAAGGTATTTCTTTAATAATTTTTACACCTCCCCTTAGCCTTTTGCGATCATCAACTTTATCATCGACGAATTTTTTAATTTCCGTCGGATCGATTGTCATGCCGTTGTTGAGTACAACTAAAGCAACCGGATGATCTCCGTCTACTTCGTGGGGAATGCCAACAACAATAGATTGCTTAACAGCCGGATGACGAGATAAAACGTCTTCTATGGAAGCGGGACTTACTGGAAATGATTTATATTTGAGCATTTCTTTGCATCGATCAACAATATAAATGTATTCATCTTCATCGTAATATCCGATATCACCAGTTCTGGTGAAACCTTCAGGGTCATATGTGTCAGGCGAAATAAAGTTGTAGTAACCATTCATTCTGTAAGCACCCCCTACGCAAATCTCACCCTCTTGATAGGGTCCCAATGATTCTCCAGTTGTTAGATCTGCAATCTAAAACAGACAATAAATGCGGATTAGTAGTAATAGCAAGGATTAGACTCGCAAGGCAGAAATTTTTAAAAACTAAATATGTGTTCTGCGTAAACGCTGCACGCATGCGTGCCTCGTTGTAACAAGCAATTCCATTTAAATTGTGTTTTTAAAGCGATTAAGTTCAGCTAACAGATAAAAGTGATACATTTTTACTACTTGTTTTATTATTCTGATATATTGATAAATATGAGAAATAAGATTTTGTTAAGTTCCGGCAATCTTCCGTTGTAAAAGTGGGAAATCAGATGCATAAGATGTGAAATACTATGCGGAATTTCTTTAATTGCGAAAGCGGAAGCAGAGGTCTGTTCCAATACTAATTTCTACTTACTACCTACCATAATTCAGTGAACACCGAACTAAGGACCGGTACTACTTTTATGGTTCCTATGCCCTTTCGTAATTTTATTACAGCCCACATCCGAATGCTCTTTGAGTATCTCAAGCAGATTTACCTACAGGCGTTTTTACACGAAAATATTAATGTCTACTTTTAGCATATTTGCTAATTAATGCCACAAGTTGAAAAAGCCAGCTGAAGCAGATATTGGGGGTAGGAACATCCCCCTTGTTTAGAGGTCTGCTATCATACGAAACGGTCTTTTTTTCGTCCAATTTTGTATTTAAAACTGTTGGAATAGCAAGACGAACTACTAAAGAATTTATTTTACTGGATAAGGATAGGGTGAAGTGGCATTAAGGTGCTTGGGTTTTATTTCTTGGGGAAAACGATGTACTGTCGCATTTTTGAGGCCCTCTTACGATGACTCGAAGGACTATTCGAAATATAATAGGATCATGCCTGTCAACACATTGTAATCCATAATTAACACCAGACAGTGTAAAAACTAAACAAGAAAACACCAAGTAATGACATTTGGCAACATTATTGTTTTCCACTGCCTACTGTGTTTAATATTTCACTGACTANCTCCAAAAATAACTGATTATAAATTGTAAATGTACACAAGTATCAATGTTTTTGTCGATTGTTCTGTAATGCATTTTGCCTTGAAGTAGTTAAAATATTATTTTCTATTTTTTTAGCTTAAGTTTGTAGGTTTATGTAGGTATAATCTTGAAGTCGGTCTTTGTTTTCTTTTTCTCTGTCTGCTACGCCACTGTAGGAAAAGATAGTGTTCAAATTTACCAACATCATGAATAGTACAAAAAATTTATTCTATAAAAAATGCTGCTTATCAGGACATAAGTATTTAACGATTCAAATATTAGATAAAATGCTATTAAGAAATTAATTTCGATTTAATTCAATATTGTAATTCGTAAACGGTATGGTTCTATCTCATTTATGAAATACAGTAGAATATCTAATTAGCGGGCAGCGACGGTACTGCAAAAAACGTCACCTTAAGAGAGATGACCGTTNTCTGTATGGTACCCTGATGCACAATACTGCGATGTGGAAGGCAACGGGAAACCATCACATTATGATATGCCAAGTAAAACTCACCGAAATTAAATGATGTCTTCCTCTGGGGTAAAGCACTCCAGACGTAAACTAGTCCCTCATTCGGATGACCAAGCGGAAGCTGTCATCAATAAGTGCAATAGGGGTAGGTGCAATATTTTACGAGTTAATTTAGAAATTCGAAAAAGATTGTTAAAGGTGTATGTTTGGAGCACGGCGCTGTACGGGTGTGAAACATGGACAGTGGGCGGGGCGGAAAAGAAATGTTTAGAAGCATTCGAAATGTGGTGTTACAGGCGAATGATGAGGATACCGTGGATAGAGAAGGTTAGAAATGAAGAGGTGTTAGAAAGAATAGAAAACAGAGGACTGTATGGAAGTCAATAAGGAATAGGCGAGACACCTTCTCAGGAATGAAAGTCTACTCAGAGACATATTAGAGACAGTAAGTTAGGAGGGATAGAGGTAGACCTAAATTAGATTACTGTTCGCAAGTAGTTAACGATATGGATTGTTCTAGTTTTAGGGAAATGCGAAAATTAACTCAGGATAGGAAAGAGTGGAGGTGCGTGTCCAACCACTCTTAGGACTGTCTACCTTATGATGATGAAAATAAATAAATAAAATTCGTTACCTTGCACTTTTCTGCAACTTTGCAAAAGTTTGCAGGACCATCATATCTCGGGTAAACCACTTTGATAAATCCAAGAAAAATGTTTGCAACAGTTAAACCGNGTTAATATTTTGATGTTTACGATGTATGATTGTCGTATGCTTCGTTCTTAATGAACCACATTGTATGGTTACCATTCATCATGTATTTTTTTATATCACATTTATACTGAATTGTTTAAATTGACTATAAACCATTTTTGTTTTCCTAAATAAAAAATAGTGTATCGAATTTTACTTTGAAATATCGTAAAGTATAAGAAAACACGATATAATCCAGTTCTCTACAACTAGATGGCAGTAAAAGGACACAAATCTGTTCAAATATTTTCTTTTAATAAATATTCAATGTTACTACTAATATTAGGTAATTGTACAAATTTATAATAATCTTAATACAATAAAAATCTGTAATCCGATACTCAGTCTGTTACAGTCTTCCGTTTAAAACCATATTTTTTAAATGTCTTCGGTCTGGTTTGCCTGTAGGACTTAAAGGTATTTCTTTAATAATTTTTACACCTCCCCTTAGCCTCTTGCGATCGTCAACTTTGTCATCGACGAATTTTTTAATTTCCGTTGGATCAACTTTTACGTCGTTTTTGAGTACAACTAAAGCAATCGGATGATCTCCGTCTACTTCGTGGGGAATGCCGAAAACAACTGATTGCTTAACAGCCGGATGATGAGATAATACGTCTTCTATGGAAGCAGGACTTACCGGAAATGATTTATATTTGAGCATTTCTTTGCATCGATCAACTATATAAATGNTGTAATATTGCGAAAATTGTTGATTAAGATCAGCAAGTAAGCATTAACTATGGAAAACAGATAAACTCTGATAATATGATTATTTACGTTGTTGTGTATAGAACCTATTTGTTGTATATATTTTATTATGTTTGTTTAGTAGTGTATTATTCCAGTTTTTCAGTTGTACATGACTTCTACATTCATTTTTATTGCCTAAATTCCTCTATACCTACTTAGAACCTTCAACCGTCTGAACCCCTTGCACAATTGTAATTTCTTTGAATCTCTGAAAATGCGAAAGATAAAAGAAATCGGACGAAAAGTTTGTTGCAAAGGCAGAATTAAACTGTCCCTCTTGATGGCACCGACTCCAAAAATAACTGATTATAAATTGTAAATGTACACAAGTATCAATGTTTTTGTCGATTGTTCTGTAATGCATTTTGCCTTGAAGTAGTTAAAATATTATTTTCTATTTTTTTAGCTTAAGTTTGTAGGTTTATGTAGGTATAATCTTCAAGTCGGTTTTTGTTTTTTTTTCTGTGCTCCGCACGGTGCTCGGTAGGTAAAGATAGTGTACAAATTTACCTATATCATGTATAGTACAAAAAATTTATTCTATAAAGAAAATGCTGCTTATCGGGACATAAGTATTTAACGATTCAAATATTAGATAAAATGCTATTAAGAAATTAATTTCGATTTAGTTTATTAGCAGTGTGATAAAAATAGAATATTGTAATTCGTAAACGGTATGGTCCTATCTCATTTATGAAATACAGTAGAATATCTAATTAGCGGGCAGCGACGGTACTGCAAAAAACGTCACCTTAAGAGAGAACTGTTCGTAAAGGGAGATTCCACAGTGTAGGGTGATAAAAGAAACTGATCGATTTCTTTTCAAGAAGTCAATAAATCATTGATATTAAATAAATTAGAAATTGTGATCGAAAATCAGGAACGATAAAACTGTATTTGATTATTTTATTTCAATTTATCAAAAGTAACGCCAAATAAAACTGAAAAAATAATAAGGCGATGCATTTGTGGATATAGTGCCTTATTCAACGAGATGAGCACAGATTTCAAATTCTCAAAAAATATGATCATCATCTATCCTAAAACTGGTCGGACACCCATTTCCACTCTTTCCTATCTTGAGGTACTTCTCGCATATTCCTAAAACTAGAACACCCAACATCCTTAAGCACTTGTGAGTAATAATCTAATCTAAGTCAACCTCTACTCCTCTTAACTCCTGTTTATGTTTCTATTATGTCTCTAACTAGCTATCCATATCTAAGACGGTGTCCTACCAAACTATCTCGCTTATATCTTAACGCCCTTTGTCTTCTTACTCTTTCTAATACCCCCTCATTTATAACCTTCTCTATCCTCGGTGTCCCTATCATTCGCTTGTCTCTTCATTTCTAGCCTTCTCTATCCACTGTATCTTCACCATTCACCTTATTGAAATATAACCGATGTAAAAAGATAAAGACAATAAATTACATTCATCTTCTTTTGACCATTGGTCTCACAAATAGATCACAGTCACATCCTCATCCATCTCCAGTTTNTATCTTAACGCCCTTTGTCTTCTTACTCTTTCTAATACCCCCTCATTTATAACCTTCTCTATCCTCGGTGTCCCTATCATTCGCTTGTAATAAATTATTCTTTAGCGATACAGGTTTTTTCCGTTGTTATCTTTCATTATTGTATGAGGAAGAAATGAAACTCATATCATTATCATGAGTAAATCTGACTTTTTAACAGGCTTAGCCATACATATCTACTGTTTATTCTTATAGCCTTGAAAAAGCTTTCTAAATAATGGCAAAACGTCGTTGTTGGCTTTCCAATAATAAATCATTTACAACCCTTATCAACTTAGGTTTGCTTTTATTATTCTTATATGGAGAATAAATGGAGCCTGTACTATGATAATAGAGAATGCAATTCAAACATATCTTACGTAAGTAATAATAAATTAATTTGTAAATGAACTTAACGTTAAACTAACTGTTGTTAAAATAATCCAGGTATTTAATGCGAACATATCGAGATAAGGTGATGATTTTTAGCAAGTTTAACAATTGATATATAGGTACATGTTAAAAATTAATAAACAAGCTCGTTGAATTCTAATCCTCTGTTTTAATAAGTTTATTTGCAACTTTTTAGTTCGTCCAGATTCATTTCATTATTGAAATTACAAATTTAAAATTATACTAGTTATACCTGCATAACGTTGTTTCCATTGTCTTTAAGTTTTTCATAAATAATTCTCCCTAGTCCTCGTGCATCTTGAAATTGTTTTCCTGCAGGTGGCCCAAAAAGTATTCTTCTTTGTTTAATAGCATTACCAATATCTGAAGGTTATAAAACACACACCATTAGAATTAGAAAACAAAGAAAAAGTAAAAAATGACCTACTTCTTTTATCGTGGTTCATATTACCACTTATGTATGTGTCCGGAAGGTGCTACTACACAGTAACTAATTTCGGCGAAAATTCTTCTCTGTATTTATCGTATAAAATATTGTTTACTTACATGTACAATTTGGATTATTATGAGATAAGAAAAAATGAAAAACAATTGGCGACTCACAAATAGTTACTTTTATACCAAATTTTTGGGAATAGTAGCAGTACAATATAACTACATGTTTATAATAGTATTAGCATTTACATGATTTAGGTAGAAAGTATTTCTAATAAAAGAAAATATTTCTAATAAAAACAAAGGAAATAATTATTTGGTAGTAATCCACAAGATTATGTAAGGCACGTATGGAAGATATAAAAACGTATCAAATGACGAACTGATAAGGTCTTTTACATGTTGTGTTATAAAACGTATTGTCACTAAAAGTTATAAACACTGCCGACTGTTACTTTAATAAATGAATGAGCAGTTTTTATCTTCACGTTTATACGTATAAATACTTCAAAAGTCGTAAATAATTATGGGAAGTTATTATTTCCAATGTTTTTTACAGTAACTTTTTTGTTAATGAAACAATTTCAAAACGTTACACAGGATGTTGCGTCCGTCACGCGTTTTTTAAAATATCATTAATTTTTCGAGGCAAATTATCTTTTTTCGTCATGATCATTTAAAATTGCTTACAATTTATATACAATTATTACTGGTCTGTCGCTATTTGTATTTTTTTATCATTTATGTAATTAAGTTTAGTTGTTAGTTATTATTCATGTTTTTATTTAATGTATTTGGCTAATTTTATCTGCATATTTCGGTAAGCTCTTTCAAATCATCTTTGTTCTCAAAGTTGTAATATTCAAGTTCCAGGTATAGTTTGCAGTAATGTCGTTTAAAACCATTAGGGCTGGACTTTCCAAATTTCAGTTAAGATGCGTATATTTCAATATTTGCCATTGTCATACTTCTCAGAAAGTCATCTATTGCTGTTACTACCCGCATTCCGATCTTGTAATAAGTTTTTGTAAAATTTCTTCTTTGTATGCAATTTATTTGAACAGCAATTTAAAATATCTAGGTAGCTGAAGAAAATACTACAAATGACGCAGTGACCGCCATCTGTAGCACGATGCTACATTTTAGGATTACGTATTTTTCAACAAGGTCCACTTGTGTGGATATCTACTTGCTGAAAACGAATCCCGGCGTAGCCAACCTCAACGTGNCTTTTACAAATTTTACGAAATTCCAAACTGAAAATTTGATTATAAGAAATTTTATTATTACTGTCATCAATAAGTGCAATATTTTACGAGTTAATATAGAAATTCGAAAAAGATTGTTAAAGGTGTACGTTTGGAGCACGGCGCTGTACGGGTGTGAAACATGGACAGTGGGCGGGGAGGAAAAGAAATGTTTAGAAGCGTTTGAAATGTGGTGTTACAGGCGAATTGTAAGGAGACCGTGAATAGAGAAGGTTAGAAATGAAGAGGTATTAAAAAGAGTAAGAGAGCAGAGGACTATATGGAAGTCAAAAGAAATAGGCGAAAGTGGTTAGTAGGAGACCTTCTCAGGCATGAAGGTCTAATCAGAGACATATTAGAGGCAGAAACGGAAGTTAGGAGGGGTAGAGGTAGATCTAGATTAGATTACGCAAGTAGTTAAAGATATGNAATTAATTTTAATAATTATGGTAACGTGCCTATCACGTTGAGGTGAGCTACGCCGGGATTCGTTTTCAGCAAGTAGATATCCACACAAGTGGACCTTGTTGGAGCATACGTAATCCTAAAATGTAGCATCGTGCTACAGATGGCGGTCACTGCGTCATTTGTAGTTTTTTCTAAAACGCACTGTTAAGACAGCAGGTAAAAGTTGGTCTATGTTCTGTCGGAGCTACCTGCGACGCGCTGATGAGATCCAAAAAGATCGAAATCGCGACCCGCGTCTGGCAGTTTCGACAGAATACAGACCACTTCGAATTATTTTATCTAGGTAGCTGTTCTGCATTATCAGTACACACACACACACACACACACACTCTACACACACCTAGACCACTGAACATATAATCACATAACACTAACGTCATCACACCGGCTGAAGAGGACCTTAATTGCTCCACGAAAACATAAAAAGAAGCATTAATCAGTTGACAACGAGAACTCAATTCAAAAAAATAATTCATTTTACTCGCAATTAGTGGTTCTTAAATTTAAGTTGATTAATTTCATTTAGTTAAGTGTAAATATTTATCTTGTGAACTCCATTTGGTTGATTCTTTATATATTAAAGTTTCAACAAAAAGCGGACTTTAATTAATTTAAAAGAAATAGCATAAATTAGCTGTAGGTACAATATCAATCTGGCGTACAGCAGAAGTTAGGATTATCCGTCCTAATTCACCAATTAAAATAGAACACTTTCGGAAATCTTTTTTTCATGGTCATGCCGTGACTAACTCCGCTACTTATAAATTTCAAGTCTAATAATAAATAAAAGTCCTTATTTATACCTTTATTGCACTTTTCATGTCCTTCGGCGAACGTCAATTTTTCTTACTACAACTTCCGCTTGTAAATATGTGTCCTTTTTTAATATTGCCTTTCTTATTCTTTTCTAACAGTATCAAACTACCTACCCCCACTACCCCCAAAATTTGATTTAACTTATCTCGGTCACATCTTTTTCCCTTTCTGAATTCCCAAACGAAAGAACTAAAAAAGGAGTTATCATTAAGAAAAAACAGATTAATTTGACCGGTACGACAACGCACACATCACTGCCCAATCGCCAGACTTACCAAAATTTGTAAAATTAACTATTTGAACCATATCAATATTCTTCTGTAAATTTGTAGCACTACCAATTCGTCGAATCCATAATCAAACCAAACCTAATGAAGGAAAATCACCTATACTCCGGTAATTCGTAGTATAGGAATGCAAACACAGGACTTTCAATATGCATAAATCATCTGTGCATCATTATTTTCTGTCTCTTGTACTAAAAAAAATAACAACACACCAGTTTCTTCGATAATAACAAAATGAGAAGCCTTTTCTGTCAACCTTCCTAAACATTTGAAATAGAAAAGTGCAGGTATTTATTTATTTAATGTGAAAATTAATTTTCAATTTTCCATCTACTACAAACTACTTCAGGTTNTCTCTAGCTATGTGCAAAAGCTCATTATACTCTCGACTGTAACTAATTACTAAACACCAGAAAAATAAAACTTTATTTCGAGGAGACGAACGCGGAATATTGGTTTAGTTTTATAAGAACAAATGCTTTCACTGCCGGAATCCATAGTAGAATGAAGATTCGAGCTATAGGACCGTGGTCTAAGTGAACTGTTCCGTCCAGACGTTTCGTCAGCTACTGCGGCTGACATCTTCAGTGGTAGTGATGCGTTGACAACGTGAACGTAGATTATATCGACAGCGAGACTTCGAGATATAATTTACGTTCACGTTGTCAACGCAGCACTACCACTGAAGATGTCAGCCGCAGCCCGAATCTTCATTCTACTTTGGTTTAGTTTTATTAAAAACTTTTATGCAAGCACCATACAACACTGCAGAGAGGAATTACAAATCAAACCAAACACAAACGTATATTTTCAATGCATATACAGCACTGCGTAGGCGTGATCTGCTGACAATGTGTTGAAATGGGAATTTTTAGATTATCGGTTGCTATTAACAGTAGGTTAGCCTCTGAANGCACCATACAACACTGCAGAGAGGAATTACAAATCAAACCAAACACAAACGTATATTTTCAATGCATATACAGCACTGCGTAGGCGTGATCTGCTGACAATGTGTTGAAATGGGAATTTTTAGATTATCGGTTGCTATTAACAGTAGGTTAGCCTCTGAAGTTTTAAAAATGTCTCCTTTTGGACATATCCAGCAGGGGTCACACGTGACGTGACGCGTGACGTTACCCTTTTCGGTTTTATGCCATGGTAAAATTCCTTCCTACCGTCGATAAAGAAGTTCCACTTCATAAATCGATTGTTGAATTTAATAATGAAGACAGAAGAGGAATAAAAGATTATCTGTCAAATATTACTGCTCCAGATTTTGGCCTAAATGATTCAAGGACACTACCTAAACACATGGACTAGGGCAGCCGAACTCGAAATCGAACCGATGACTTTCCAATTTCAATTCAATTTCAATTCCATTTTTTCCAACATTTGCTAAATGTCTATACCACGCCGCTCAGTCAAATTTGTACAACAAATAAAACCTTTGGGTGTTTTAGTCTAATAGGCTAATACTGATAAATGGGCAGTAGTTCCGGCCTACACTGTGATGTAAGGCCCTCTTCAGCCTTCTTTTAGTAATCGTGGGAATGCGTGGATGCTGGTTGGGGAGAGAAAGACGAGACGTGTATAGTAGTAATCATTGTTGATTGATTACTGCTCAAGCATTTGTCTAGGTGATATAAAGAAGCCACAGAAATTTTTGGACAAGGGCAGTCAGACCCGCAAACGAATCGTTGTCCTTCCAAATGTTAAGCAGTAGTTTAAACTTCTAGACAGCGCCGCTTGTTTTTTTTGTAAAAAAAAATATATGGGTGCTTCTTTCGTACTAGCAAGTGATGCTGGTGAGCGGGTAGTCCCTTCGGGTCAACCTTAAGAGTAGGGACCATCTAGAGCTTCTCTTTAGGAATCGTTAGAATGGATGGGTGGTGCTTGAAAAGAGAATAATGGAACGAACGAAATGAAGGCAGAAAAGAAGTGAAAGATTATTTGTGGAATATTATCACTGGCATTTGCGTAAGTATTGTGATTCAGGGTAATTATAGAAACACTTGGAGCAGGACTGACGGACCTAGAATTGAATGCTAAGCAAATACGGAATTGAATACTAAGCAATGGTCAAAATTTCTAGGCTCCAGGCAAGCGGTCGGCAATTGGCTTGTTAATACAAGTTTGGATGAAGTCAAGAGTAGTGGTAATGGAGTAATTAAGAGTACCGACCTCATAGAGAAAACCAGTAATGCAGCTTGATAGGCGAGAATAAATAAAACATTAAAAATATAATAATTACAGTAGGAATATCCCATAATAAATTAAAGTTCTAAGCTTTCTACGTTTATTTATAAAAAGTGCGGGACGAATGGTCATATGATTTACGCGTGTGTGACTAAAATGCGCTTCACAGGAATACATATATTTTCATGGTGAAATTCAAACTCTTTCAGGGTATACTATATCGATCAGTAGTGATTGGGTATAATTTGTTTTTTATATAAATAAATAATTTTTCATGACTTTGTTACTTACTACAATGACGACTGGGCAATGTTGACAAGGAAACTATGGTTTATGCAAATTCCTTTTGGTTTACCAGTGGTTCCACTGCTGAAAAGAATCATAGCAGTGTCTTTCCAATTTATGGCATCGTGTGGCTCAAATGATTCTTCCCCATCGATTGGAGCTAAATAATTTTCGAAAGATTCATAATCGTTGGAAGGGCCGAGCACAATAATTTTTGATTCCAAATTGCTCGCCTTAAGACTCTTAACAATTAAATCAACTGAATCTGAACCGACAAAAATAGCTTTCGGTTTCAGCATTTGAAGAAAATATTTGCAATCATCTACTGAGAATGTGGGGTCAATTGTTGACGGGATAACTCCAGTAAAAAATGATGCTATTAATGGTACTGCACTATTTAATGTATTAAATGTACAAATAGTTATTTTGTCTTGAGGTATAAAACCCTTTTTTCGCATATGTAACGCTGTTCTTGTGCACCTCGTTAGAAAATTGTTGAATTTATCTTCTTCTTGTGTGATACCGTCAATCTGAAACAATAAAATGTACTCAGATAAAAGTAAAGTACGTTAAATTTAACTGTAGCTAAACCGAAAAAATAAATAAAAAACATTTTCATATCCTGACACTAAATTTACTAAGAGAACCTCGGCAGTTAACCTGTCGTTCATCATAAGGTCGTCAGTTCTAAGAGTGTTTGGACACTATTTGCGAACAGTAATCTAATCTAGGTCTATCCCTACCCCTTTTAACTCCCGTCTCTGCCTCTAATATGTCTCTGACTAGACCCTCATGCTTGAGAAGATGTCCTAAGAACCTACCTCGCCTATTTCTTATTGACTTCCATATAGTCCTCTGCTCTCCTATTCTTTCTAATATCTCTTCATTTCTAGCCTTCTCTATCCACTGTATCTTCACCATTCACCTTATTGAAATATAACCGATGTAAAAAGATAAAGACAATAAATTACATTCATCTTCTTTTGACCATTGGTCTCACAAATAGATCACAGTCACATCCTCATCCATCTCCAGTTTCATAATTAAACTGGAGACTGGCATCTCTATTTCTCTATCTGTTAGCGTCACGCATGCTATACTTCATTTACTTTCTCTAGCTATGTGCAAAAGCTCATTATACTCTCGACTGTTGTTCATTAAACATCCTTTTGCATACAGTACCTGCCAAAAGTTTTGTTCAATCATGAATAGTAGTGCGAGTCGAAAACAAGCGTTAAAGCCTTTATTATGTCTTTAAATATAAATAAACATCTCGTTGATACTCTTAGTAGTAAATGGTACCAATAACAGCACATTTGAGCAATGCATAAATGGATAAAATGGTCAACTTTTCTGTGCAGTACTGTACTGATTATACACTCCTCACCGGTTAAGAGTTTGGTCGAGAGCTGTCTCCTTCCTTTTCTGGCCTAGTGCTGTTCTTTTCTACTTTGCGCCGATCAAACTGAAGGTCACATCGCTACAGAAACTAAACGAAGTATACAATGTATTGGTTTACACGAAGGAGTAAAATTAAGGCAAATGCTAAACATATGATTATCATCATCCGTCATTTTGTGTTTTTTGTTGACTCTTTATATATGTTAAGGTCAAAGTCCGTTAATGATAGCGGCTAACAGTTGTATTAAAATAGGGAGCAAGCTTTGTTTGAAAAATTTTTCGATTAAACTTATAGTTTGACCGCAATTAGCGTATTGCATACTTTTTGAACCATTCTGTATATGATAGTCATCACTCGTTGTCCAATTTAAAGTGCACGGTGTTAATTTCAGTTTTCTTAATTAATTTCTGGTGAGTGGCTTACAAAAATTACGACAAAACACGATATGTTGAAATGTTTTATTCAAATAATTAAAACAATTCCTATGTAGCATAAGAAAAATACTCCGAGTTATCCAAGTTGTTGTTAGTTGTTACGTATATGAATTCAAACGTCGAAATTTATCCACCCTGTTCAAAGTTCGCCTAGCCTCCCCCAGGCTTCAACAGATATCTATTTTCTATTTATAATCTATAATCCATAGCAAGGTTATACTTAAAGAGCGAACAACGTTCGTACATGACGTCATTATCAGGGACATACTTAGGACATTTGTGCATCTTGTGACACATTTATGTAGAAAAATGGCAGGGAAATTGCCATTTTATACGTTTCCCAAGTATAATAGTAAGGTATAAAAATGTATTCATTAATTATTATTTAGGTATTTAATTTTTTGTTAACTTCTGTCAGGGTATTATATTAATGCTCTCCACATTAATTATTATTTAACATAGTTACTTACTCCTTTGCGCCTCTGTCTGCAATCCATGACTTGCAGCTACTTCTTTTATAATTTTTTCGTAAGGTCGCATGATTATCATTTCAATTTTCGTCAATTGTTCTTCAGAGTTGCAAATTTGGGTTATTGTTTGAGGAAATAACATTGTATTATGTTTAATAGCAATAAACAATATTTATCTTTAGCTTACGTACTTGTTTTTAAAAACAAAAATACGTTTCCTTGTGGGTCAATATTGTTATACATTCTTTTATGTAATATTGCGAAAATTGTTGATTAAGATCAGCAAGTAAGCATTAACTATGGAAAACAGATAAACTCTGATAATATGATTATTTACGTTGTTGTGTATAGAACCTATTTGTTGTATATATTTTATTATGTTTGTTTAGTAGTGTATTATTCCAGTTTTTCAGTTGTACATGACTTCTACTTTCATTTTTATTGCCTAAATTCCCCTATATCTACTTAGAAACTTCAACCGTCTGAACCCCTTGCACAATTGTAATTTCTTTGAATCTGTTGTTGTATCTGTGTTGTATTTAGCTCTCGTATATGGCTTCTTCCTTTGTATATATGTTTTGTTGTACCTATTCCTCTCTTACTCTATTTGTGTACTTATATAACTATTATGGTCTTATGATTGTATTAGTTGCCTATTATTCCCAATTAGATATAGTTTATCGACCACTCAGACAGGAAAAACATCGCTTCCAAACATCGTATTGTTTTATTGAAATGGTTTTTAATTGAAAACATACGTACTGTTTGAATAAAGGGAAAACATGATGCTCCATATACACTCGTTTTTCATAATACATAAGACATATTCAATAGTTTCAAAGTTTAAAGTTAACTAGTTTTAAAGGCATTTACACTATCACTATCGGACTACACCGGAAATTAGAGCAAAGAAGCCTTCTTTCTGGAATCGTGGGAATGGGTGGGTGGTAGTTCGGGTGAGAAAGATGAGACGGACGAAATGAAGACAGAAGAGAATGAAAGATAGATTATCTGTGTGAATATTATTGCCCCAGTGTTTGCCTAAGTGATCCAAGGAAACCACAAAAAAACTTGGACCAAGGCAGGCGGACCCGGACTAAGCATTGGTCTAAACCTGTAGGCCACACTTTCTGGTCTCCTATTTTCGTATTACCTCTTTAATTCTGAAGCAAATGTAATGTAGGTACTTCAATGCTAAAAATTTTCACAAACTTATTGCTTATTGGACAATGATCTAATAATAATTGTTAGGGAAATAGTGGTGTAGCATGAATCTCTACCACCCAGGACGATGTCTAAATTTGCCACCCTTCCTATTCCTAATAATAAATAAATATGTTTTCTAGTAATCCCCAAATTTACTTTTAACCGACTTCAAAAAATGAAGTGCTCAATCCGATTTTTTTTTGTATGTTTACTCTGCTAATTATGAATTAATTTTGATCTTTCTTTTGACTTAAATTAAAAAGTAGAAAATATTATTTTAATTACTTCAAAGCAAAGCGCAAATAAGAATAATCGACAAAATCATTGATCTTATATTATTTACAATTTATAATCAGTTATTTTTGTAGGTGCTATCCAAAGCAAAAATAACCTTAACAGATGCCTACTTGATTAATCAATTAATATATGAATGCGAAAGTAGAG